AGAAATAGTTTTGAGAGGATATCTTTAAATTAAAACTCTTTTAGTTTTGGAACATAGTTTGTTCAAATAATGGTGCACATATGACGAAAAATATAGTTCATCACACAGGCAAAAAGTGTCGTTTTAACCCTCCCTCATTTTCGACCCCGGCTTTGCCTCGATAGTAAAACCTAAGCTCGGGTCAAATAGAGTAATTTTTTGCCCTAGTGATGAAGTATACTATCTAGCTCTAATTATCAATTTTACTTGGTAAAAAATATGATAAGGAAATTAAAGAAATCAAAATCAGTTTAAACAATTTGAAGTAGGTACGGTACCTATTTGACTACCTAAACTGGTTTTAAAATTTAAACTACAGTTACTACTAAAATTTATTTTGTTCAAAATTTGGAAGAAATAAACGTTTTCTAGTCAGATCAACAACTAGGAAAAAACTACAGAACGTTTGCCATTTAGGGTACAAAACTCAAGCAAAACAGCAGTAATTTTGTTTTGTTCCAATGCATTGGAACTGAACAGTTCAATAATAGTGGGGTGTTACAGTATTTTTCAAAGAAAACGTATATCCATTAAAAGACAGTTTTTGATGGTTGATTCGGTTTTCATCTCAGCAAAAAATATTTATACATCTATTTGATTACAGCAATCAAACCCTTTCATACATTATGAATGTAGTGTCATTTTTTTCTTATTTTATTCAATTTTTAAAATATTTGTTTAATACTGTTCACCCAAAAGCTTGAATAGTGAATACCGGTAGTTACTAAATGCTACTGAACAATAATGATCACAATTAGAATAATTATCTACCCAAAGGTGACGCAGGCCTATTCAGCTGCAGTCAGTTAACTATGACTACCAGAGACTAAACTAAAACATGATGTTTCTTTACCTCTTGTACTTAACAGCTCTGCCACCTTTCATAGCATGTGACTACTACGGCTTGAGCAGTCATTTGGCAGACTCTTACACTTCATCAAAGAAAATTGAAACTTTGAAGGAAGAAATTGCTCTGAAAATCACACCAGAAAAATCTGTTTTTCAAACAGACTACACCTATGGAGGTGTAAGGAAAATAATCATTTCTACATTGGACTACATCCAACTAACGCATATAGCAACAAAAAGCAAACACCTAAAAGGAGACGAAATTCCAGATTTCTTAAAAAGAAAAGGACTTTCAGTGCAGCAGAATATAATGGTATATGACCTGAAAATGTCAGCCAATGTTTTGTATAGAGAATTCAATAATCAATTGGGTCTAGACACAAACGAGGAAGGCAATCTGGGTTTCTATGGAAGTTCTCAAGTAGTTTTGACTGTGTTTTCACTTGGAAGTATTGTTGAGTGCTTTGCAGTGGTTACGGATATGAAGGTAATGTTTGGGCGTCCTCAGCAAGACATTAAGATGTGGACAAACTTCAAGGCAATTGAGGAACATTTGGTTGTGGCTATAACGAATGGTATGCAGAAGAAGTTGAAACTTAAAGGGGAGTGGATATGTGGAAAAGTGTAGGAAAAGAATAGTGGCAAGCTATTTTTCCGTTCTGTTTACCAGTAGTGTTCAGTTCTAAAAACATCAATTCGCCTAAATAAATAATTGATCTAAGTTCCGTCAAAATAAGCGTTTCATTCACAAACAATATTAAGTTACAGCTGTTTTACAGATTGACTTAAGTCAGAACTTATTTATACAAAATTCTTATCAGAACCATAAAAAAATATATAAGGCAAATTTTTTAAATTGTTGTATGCTAGTGCTTTAGAGTGCAAGGAATTGCCAGAAATTGCAAAGAATTTATAGGCCTACTGAGCCGACTCAAAATAAGATTGGTTAATCCCCTCCACACCTGCAAGTTTATTTGTGAACAATACAACTACAAGCGACACAACTCTTTTGTGCGGAAACTGTACTCAACTTCCTATGGTAACTTGTGATGTCACCATATTTATTTTCAAGAAGATGACACATTAAAGCATGTCTAATTGAACTCTGTAAATAAAAGCAAATGCAAACGTTGTGGGTTTTTAATTTTGTTGCTCTGAAAACCAATCAATTCTACCTTCAAAAGCCCCATTTTAGAACACTAAAAGCTCAGGATCAGAGTTCTTGGTTGATATCAAAATGTGAATAGGCCTAGATAGTACTGTACTGCATTTTGATAATCATGTAGATAGATTTATAGTAGGTTATTAGCAGTAGCTTTTGTACAACATTCCAGCCAGTTTGATCAATTGGTTTTTGCCTGATAGAAAGACAAACGGAAATTTAATTTTTAAATAGTGCTGATAGATGAATATAGTACAGGACAGATACTATATTAACAGTTTGACAGTCATAATCCTTCCAATCAGAGTAGTTACAAACAGCAATCGGTCTTAAACACAAACAACCTGTTTACATTTATGACACAGTGAAAGTAACAACAGATTATAAACTAGGTTAGGTTATGTAAATCTCAAGTAAATTATTGAATAAGCCGGTCATTATTATAAGAACATTTGTGACTTGAGTGTTGGTTATTGGTAGGCCTAAGAATCAAGATTAAAAGAGTAAATAGTCCAAAGAATGTACTAGAGTAGTGAAGTAATTAATAGAGTGAAGAACTAAGATTGAGGTTAGGCCTAAACATTATTGTTAGTTTATCCAGTGTAAGGATAATGAAATATAACAACCTTAACTCTTTGAACCCCTAAGAATTTTTTATTGATTGATTTTTTATTCCTATTTTGTCAACAAAGTAGACAGCAACCCCAAATGGACAAAATGACATAACCTACAATGCTGTAAAAGTTACGTTTAACAAATTATTGCAATTTTTGTGATTTTTGCCATAAAAACTCACAGTTACTCCCACCGCTTACCCATTATAATCCTTGACATTTATTGGATAGCATTATTATCAGCCCAAAGACAAATTGCATCTAGGTCCAGAACTGATCCCATTTTGAATTTTGCCAGCAATCTTCGGATTTGAAGACATAATAACTACTCGCCTAACCTTATAAATTATAGCCCCGCAGAGAAGTAAGATATAGAGGTAACAAGCTTATGGGACAACCGAGCACTTTTAGCTCTGATATGTTCCCGAGCAAGGAAGAGCCCAAACGGCAATGGCCACACTTAGCTTTTTTGTACAGAAGTTGTTGCGCACAGGGCCTTCACACAGCGTGAACTCTGTAGTACGTGATGGCGAGGGGGAAAAGGAGAGCAGATTGGGACAACGAATAGAATTTGATCTAGACACCACTAAAGTATACAATTGAATTTATCCTCTGTATCTTACTTACTTCTTACGTACTTCTCTGTGATAGCTCCAATTTCGAAAACCATTACAACTTTTGATTCCATACAGGAGCACTAAACTCAGCTACTTAGCTAGTTTATTAAAACTTAAAAGAATATCCTACTCAAACTACAATACGAAAAGAAGATAAGTAGGCAGTAGTGTAGGTTGATAATTCAAACGCCAGAGATCTGAGTTGTCTAGTTTTTTGTGGAAGTAGACTAAGGAAACAAATAGTTGACCCTCTCTGATATAGATGAGTTTATCTTGTTTTAGTGTAGCAATGAGATATCGGAAAAGAGGCTGAACTTTGACCAACACAGCGGAAAACTAACAGCTTATAAAACCATTAATATTGTTTCTGATGTTATTAGGTATATTGATTTACTATCAATTTTTTGCTACTTAGCCTCTAATTTAAAGATTTTAATTTGCAACTTTGAGTATTGAGTTATTTTATGAAATACAATTTTTTATGATGAGATATTTACAATAGTTATTCATATTTCTTGTTAAGGTTTAAATGACATTTGTTAAGCAAACCTAAGTGAAAGCATAATGGATCCAATATCTGCTACAAACCCTGTCCATTTCAAATAGACAACATTTTTTTACAATTCCCTATCTCTAAGATATTTAATAAAAAAATATACCATACACATAAAGTCAATTGAGTCAACATACTTTGACGTGAACCACTAAATTTTTAATATTAACTTAAATATATTCATGCTATATTTTGTAAATTTGTACAAGTCCCGGCATCCACCGCCGTAAATTTTGTCTTCGAATAAAAATAGTGAACGATGGTCATTTCCACCTAAGCTTCTAAAGAATTTAAGGTTTTTCCTGTTATCCCCCTTTTTTCTTAATGTGCATTCTATGGTCATACGATACAAATGTAAATTATTAGCTATACAGTCCAATTAACATTAAGATCCAAATATATCTATAACATTTTTATCAAATTCAACAGTAACATTTTACCAGTTAGTTATATTTTTTATCCAGTTACTCAACTTAATTTTGCATTATTATAATGTAATAGTATATTTCATAACAAGAGTAGGAAGTGAGTCATTACATATTTGAGACTATGTTTGAAGTGTGAGATTTATCAAGCCCTTTAAATGGTCGAGAATATGTATAGACCCACTTTCACTTGTGCTTTAAACGTTAATTTTGCTACACTACAAAGACTAATTATTTTCTTATAAAACAGACCTTAGATATTTCTTTATTACAGTTAGGAACATTACAAAACTCATAACATTTTTTAGGTTATGCCTTCAATTTAAAGTTATACCTTGGTTGTACAGTTTTGGTTGATGGAAATTGTACAGTTGACAAAACAATAACAAATCTTTGTTTAATTACGTCGGCAAAATCCAAAAAAAGATAGTAAACGTTATTTTTCCGTAGTAAACAATGTAATGATGAATTTTTGCAAATGATAAACATGTATAACAAAAATAGGTCATTCCACAGTAGTGTAGCAAAAAGATATGTTTTTACATCAGTAAAATAATTTAGATCATAAATTTACTTAATTTCCATCATTTTCACAACTATCCGTTTTTTACTTCTAAGAATTTGTCCAAAAAGATTGATTGGCCCATTCATTTCTTTAAGACTGATGCGTCATACAGAGTAAGATTTTACAAGGAAGCTACAAGGTGTATAAATAAATAAACCTTTACGTTTTTGTTCCAGAAAAAGAAAAAGAAAGTACGAAAGAAGGTGGGGGAACACCAATAACCAACGGGGTGACAGAAGTGAACGGCAACTGCAATGGAACTGAGGAGGTGGAGAAGGGCGAAACGGAAGCCAATGAAAAGGGAGGAGACAAGAAAGACGAGGCTGAAGTTGTGTTCATCCAAGACATGGGCTTCACGGTGAAGATTGTCAGCCCTGGCACCGAGGCATTTGATATACAGGTTGGGTTTTGGCGTTTTTTTTTGTCCTAGGACGCTAGGCACGAGCCTGGGATTGTTTTTCACATTACTTCAGGCTAGACCTAGGGGTTGCGGCATTATCACTTATAAAATCCATTGGTGACTTGGCGGGGATCGAACCCCGGACCTCAGGGACGCTCTAACCACTACGCCAGCTCGTTCCCCCCCGGTTTTTTGGCGTTGCTCTTTAAAAGTTTCCATGACCCCTGGGTAGGGAGGGTAATTGGTTAAATGATCAATACGTCATGTTTAATGTTCACAGCTGTTTTATTGTCTGACTACAATAATCCTTAATTAATCCGGACCTCATTGGTGTGAAATTTATTGGTATGGATACAAATTTGAGGGTTGATTACAAAAATTATGTGCAGATCAGATAAGAATGCTTCATTGTAAACAAACTCATGGTTGTTTGGCTTTTGAGTACAATGAATCAAAACTTTCAAGTGTGTGGAAAGACCTGAGGGGATTGGGCTATGATTCTATTTGCTGTTGCCATTGTTACTGTCAACCAAAAATGGCTGAAATACATTTTCTAGCATCTATCAGCTGTTGGTATTTTAAAATTATAAATACACTAGTCAAGCTTTTCTATTTGTAATATGTAACAATTATACCCATGCCCAGAATTCCAAGAGTCCCAGAGTCCAAAACCCAGAAGTCACACAATAATACCACCTTTCTTTGTACTAAGATAATTTATTCATCTGAACATTCATTAATACAGACGCTTGGCCTTAATTAGTTCAGATTTACAAAGGCTAACTTTACTTTGTACATTTTTTTTTTATTTGAGGGTTTGGATGTCTTATCCTTAGAAAAGTGTTAGTACTGATGTCATTCAAAATGTCTCTAAGAAGTGTAAAAAAAACAAAAAACTATTTAAAATGTTATTTAAAGTGGCAGTTGCACCTTGATCTCAATAAATTGTTATGTTTAATTGTATCAAATCTAACAGATCGAAAAACTCTCTTACTTAATGTTGAGTTATATAATGTAATTTGCTTTGATACTAAACATCTGGTAGTTTCATGGCATAAACGAGTGTTCTACATTTTATTCTATACTAACCCAAACCACTTTCCTTACTCAGTAATGGGTATTTACTCAGGGGAGGTATAGAAGAGGCTACGATGACAGCTGTGGGCTTCTTATTAGCTGAGGGAACGCCATTAGCGTAACAATACGACCTGAAGCCATCGGCCTCGGTGGTCTAGAGGCTAGCGTGCCGGACTGATATGCTGAAGGTCCCGGGTTCGAATCCCGTCGGTAGTATTAACTTTTTGTCCAAGATTTTTTAATTATCAGCAAGTTTGGTTGGTTTAGTTCGGTTATGACAGTTTAATTTTATTATTAAGTCATTATAAAAATTTAATTGAGCAATTTCTAGTTTTTTTTTAAACATAATTATTTTTTCTATTACTAAACTTTTGTTATAGTATTTTATTATCAGCAAGTTTGGTTAGTTCGGTTAGGTTATGATAGTTTAATTTTATAATTAAAAAATAATAAAATTGAATTTGAGGCATTTATAATTTTATTTTATGAACAGAACTATTCAGCGATTAGTGCTTCATTGCCAAAGTGCTCTCTACTACAGCGCTGTTCATGGAGGAATTTTGAACTAATGCCTCAATCGTACCTCCCCTAAGTCAGACCCTCAGTAATGCAGGTTTACCTTAAGTTGTTTTATGAAAAAAATTATTAAAAGTGGTACCGGTACCTAGTTTTACAGCATAAAATAAAATAACTAGCTTAAACCTATCAGATTACCAGATATCTTGCACACCAACATAGATTTATGTGAAGTCATTTGCTCTGAGATATAAAAATGTTTGTAAAAAGTGGTAGGTTTCACTGAATGAAATAGTTCTTCTAAATTGACTCAAACAGATTGTCAAACTTATTACACACTACGTAGTTTAATCGATTTATGTAATGCAATTTGTCATAAAATATTAGACATTTTATTTAGGGCCTAATGTGGCATTTTCATTAAATGGTTTTGCTAAAATAAAACCTAACAGATCAAAAACATTCCTTACACAGTAAAGCAGGTTGACTATGAGTGGGGGGATTTGGTTATCTTTTAAACACACTGACAAGGATTATCATACGCACACAAACACACACATATACTCACACACAACACACACACAGACAAGCAAGAGAGCTACAATCTAGCGTAACCTTTCTAATTGACTGAACTAGGCTTCCCGCAAGTAAACATTCCAGTTACAAAATGACTGTCAGGCTTCCTGCTGCATCATTAAAACATTCTTTGAATTCTGCACAGGATCTTGCACAACGGTGAAGGATTTCACATTTGTTCTGATTTAATGTTTTCGGTAAAAATTGGAAAAATTAAATTGTCTTCTTATTTTTTATTTTTCAAAAACTTGTAAAATGTCCCAACTATGTACCTAAGCCTTAAGTGGGTTCTAGCCGGCCAATTCAAGATGGCGGCTAAACATGCCTCTACGGTACAAGCTCTCAACAATAAAACTAATTTGTTTTCGATGATTGTGTGCTTGTTGTGCTCTTAACATACCAGAGCTTGCAATGGATGGGGATAAATTAAATTAATGTTGAACTATTACCCTATTTAGAAACTAAAATCACATGTGAAAAAGACTATATTTAAGTATTTTCAAAATTAATTTTTTAATACTTAAAGAAACAGTTACGAAGTTTCAATTCATCCAGGGCATAGTTTGGATCTTGTGAATATTTTACCGTTAATTTTAACTCTATCACTTTAATAATGCCACAAGGTTCTTTTTTGTAGGACCATGTTTATGTGGTAACCAGGCGGCAGGTGAAACCCTCTTAATAACATCAGTCTATATTCCTAATTTATATTCCCTTATAAAGATAAAGAAATTTAAAGAGATAGAGATAAAGACTGTTAAAAAGTTGTACATTATTATTCTTTTCAAGCAAATTAAACATTTTATAATAATTTGTATATATCCTGTTACAAATTGTTATCTTAAAATATAGTTTTATTAAATTGCCATACATATAATTATTTTTCCTTAGTATGGGTTTTCCATAGCCATTATGTATCACTAAGATTGTTATTTTTGGAAAATAAATTATCTTATCTTATCTCATTATATCTTAACAATTTACATTGTTCTCCCAAATGTGTATAGGCTATGATGTTTTACATAAATAAACTGACCTAAGGACAATGGAATTATAAACCCGAGGTTCTTAAAAAACAGTGACAAAGGAGAATCATAAGATATCAATCATGACCCATTTGATCATCCTTAACTATTCTTCCACTTAAGAGCTTTTCAAAATATAAGTTTCATTTTGTTTTTACTTTTCTTTACAGGGTCTTTTTAGTCAAGTTAAGATGGCTTGAACAAAATGTGTTTTAGACTTATTTTCAAGTAATGATTGATGGATTAAACTTTGAACAAAAAAGCTTTTAAAAATCTATTTCTTTACAACAATTTTAACAAGGTGTACTTCAAATTCTATATTACAGTCTGTTGGAACAAACTGCTCTATTTTAATGTGTTGAAATGCAATAATACTTAATTTACTATGGTTTATTTTTTGTACTTTCATTTTTTTCTAGTGAAGGTTGTGTTGTAAGTGTATAGGTTAGGCTTGGAATTTATTTTAAAAAGTGATCCGTTCAATCCTTGTCAAAATGTTCAAATTTCCTTGAAGCCACTGGCATTCACACTAACTATAACACTAGTTCTAATCCATTTACTCATGGTTTCTGAAATTCAAGGATTTCTGCTGTTATAACATATCAACTTGTAATGCAGACAAATCTTTATGATGAAAGGTCATTGAAAAGCCTTAGACAGTTTAGGAACTAGTTTTTGTTTGTCTTAGGACACTAGGCACGAGCCTGGAATTGTTTTTCACATTACTTTGGGCTAGACATAGGAGTTGCGGCATTATCACTTAGATAAAATCCATTGGTGATTTGGCAGTATTTAAACCCAGGACCTCAGGAACCGAAGTTCTGCGCTCTAACCACTAGACCAGCTTGCTCCAAAAAAATTGTTTAGGAACTAGTAGAACTACTGTTACTACAAGTTAAAACATAATATGTATCCACTCAAAATAAAATAGGTTAAATGCCCTTTTAAACTTGAAGAACCAGGTATTTTACACACTGTTCCAGAGCATCTCATTAGAAATGCAGTTTAAACATTTCCTTATTTAACATTTTTGTACTACCAATAAAATATTTTTCTAACCTGTATTGCCCAGTATTGATTCGCTTTAGTACTCGCTCTTGAAACAAACCTTTATTTTGAATTTCCTCTTGTCCATAATCATTTTAGCCGTAAGTCCTTGCACTAACAACAAACCTTTTGCTCTATCCACTTGACCAATATTGATAACATCAGAGTACTTTTTGTGACGTGTTTGTGTTGTGCAGGTGTCCAGTATGGAGTTAGTGCAAGAGATACATCAGCTGTTGATGGACCGTGAAGACACGTGTCATAGAACATGCTTCTCCCTCCAGCTGGACGGAAACACCTTGGACAACTTTGCAGAACTCAAGAACATCGAGGGTCTCAAGGAGGGATCAATAATCAAGGTAAGGGGAGAAAAGTGGTTTGAAGTTATATGTGAAAGATGAACAATTTTGTTTTTGTTAAGTATTGTTGGGTGTGTTTGGTATTTTTCGAACCACACAATACTAGAAAATGGCTTGAAAATACAAAATAAGGTAGAACTCTTGTTATCCGAATCTATTGAAGCCGTATGGAAGACAAAAATGTTTCTGAGACTACAGGAGACGATGATGATGTTAAGGATACCGCACGAGAGGTTCAGGATTTTTGCTTCGCTCATTGCTTCTGCATTCTTTAATTAACATTCTTTCTGTAAACAATTCGGATAATCATCAATTGTTGGAGCTGTACTGTTCTGGATAATTAGATAACTATTGGGGTTCAGAATAAAATTACAATTAATAATTTGTTCAGAATTGGATAGTTTTAGAGTTCTAAAGATAGTTCTATAGGATAGTTGAAATTATACTAAGGAGTAGATTGGATACCGAACATGCATGAATGGGAAAGAGTCTTATCTTGGCACAACAAACACAACAACTTTTGGAAAGGAAGATTTGAACGGAAAGATATCCTCTGGTCCATTGTGCTATGTGGCTATGTTATGTCACATCATTAAGTAATAGATTTAGTTTGAGATTGTTTTGTCAAAACAAACTAAAAAAAAAACAAATGTTATACAAGCGGTAGTGAAACCTAAGTTCCTAAGTAATGTTATGTAAGTGCCATGATTTGGTGCTCACCTTAAGCTTCACCTATCTAGATTACAAAAAGAGTAGCTGTGTCATTTTTATGGTATAGCCTCTGGATCACTGATGTTTACAATAAAAGGTTTTAATTACCTGTATCTGTCTTAAAGTGAAATGGTCGTTATAAGGTTCAAAGTTCACAAAAATAACACATACACGTACACGAAACATTTAACATAGAATGGCCAACACAGAAATACAAAAACGCGTAATAAACATCATACACGTATGGCGCCGGTAGAAGGTAGGTCATGACACTAGTAATACTAGTCATGACCTACCTTCTACCGGTGCCGTGCTTGTCCAATGTTTATTACACATTTTTCGTATTTGTGTGTTGGCCAATAAATATCAATGTTAAATGTTTCGTGTACTTGTATGTGTTATTTTTGTGAACTTTAAACCTTTATTCTATGGAATAAATCAATGCAACATTTTGACCTGAAGATGTGTTAATATAAACATGAAACAGCTGTAGTCAACTAACTACAAACCAGTATCACTTGACGGATACAGTTAGTTTAAACCTTTTGTTGTAGCTATGTCAAACAATATAAATTTTCCCTGTATTGAAAAAAAAATATCTTCTCTAAAAGCCATACCTTACACTACTTTTAGTTTCTAAATATCTAAATTCTACATTTGGGCAGCTCCCTTCTGTTTCTACTAGTTCAATAACAATTCAAAGTATACCATCAGTCATAAGATTTGCTGAAGTTGTTGATGTTGTAATACTCTGGCATTACTCTGTAGTCTGTACTGAGCTCAAGGCCTTGCAGTTTGTTATCTCATTAGGAAATTATCATAACTGCACAGAGGAACTAAGTGGTGGCTCTTGCTATCCAGTTATCTGCAGCAGTTTTTTTTTATATTATCCAAGTTCTATTTTTAACTTCAATCAATATCATAACTATGTGAAAAACTTTTATAGTTTAACAAATGACTCTCTATGGAGCCACGAGCATTTCAGTTGTTATATCTTGTTCTGATCTCAACCATTTAGCATGAAAAATTGAGTTTGCTCAATTTTATTGTTAATAAATTGAACAAGTAAAGTTGAGTTTTGGAAAATAAAGCCAAGCTCATTTAATTAAGAGTACAAACTAGAGTTTGTCTTGATTTGTGTTATTCTGATCAGTACCAACCTTGATTTAAAAACTTGATTTACTTCTTTGCATATCAGAATTCAAGCTTAGAATCTTATTTGCAAATCCTATTTGTGCTGCATTAGGGCTATTATCAAATAATTATGTCAGTCTTAACCGTTCAAAACCTACGGATTTTTCATTAATTTATTTATACTCATTGAAAATTGGTGTAAATACCTGCTTCTTGTAATCCAAATTGTTGCTTATGACGCAACTAGTTTAGACTTATCACGAAGTCATCTTCGGGCGTCCAGGGGATGTCAATTCACTTCATCAGAAGGTCGTCAATACACACATACGTTCATACACGAACATGGTCACGGTTACGAACAAAAATTGACATCCCCTGGACGCCCGAAGATGACTTCGTGATAAGTCGAAACTAGTTGCGTCATAAGCAACAATTTGGATTACAAGAAGCAGGTATTTACACCAATTTTCATATTCAACGTAATCCGGAGGCTAACATCAACAATGAAATTATACTCATTGTTATCTGTTTCGGTCCTGTTCCCGTTATATTTTTTTCAGACCTAAAAAAAATTAACAAACAGTAAGGATTAGTAAAAAGTATCAAATTTATGGTGCAACTAACAAAGGATCCACTAATTTCATCAACCTGAGGCATCCTCAATTTATCATATGAGGACCTTTTCCGAAATGCTTTGCAACAGACGGGTGAACGCTTATGAGTTCTACACCAGACTTGAATGAGAAAGGATTTGAATCTGTACAATACAGTCTCCTGGCTGGAGAAAGCCTTAGACAGCTTGTCCATCGATGAGACTTAACAATCTATTGAACTAACAACACTTATCAACTACAGTACAGTAGACTCTAAAATCCACCACTGCGCCACTCTGGCACTCCAGTAATTCCGGAGTCTTTTGACGGGTGTGGTCTTCGGCAATCACAGTGAATTCATTAACATTTTTCCGTCGCTTGAACATTATCATGATCTTCCGCTATAGCGGGAAAATTTTGATGATCTCATACGTCCACCATCGACGGAAACGTTATCCTCGTCTTCCGGGATCGCAACAATAGCGGTAATAAATCAATTGTTTTGTGCATTTTAAGTGTTTTTATTGATGACGTTCCAGTAATTGGGGAGTATCACGGTCCTATATCTGCCGGATTACTGAGAGTGTACTGTAAAACTCTTTAGTACCCGAATCATTTCAGACCGTAACACAAATTGGATCTAGTTGAAAATTTTGATAGTCGCCAGTCGGATATTTTCTGAAATTTAGGCTATTTTACAGATAATAGGACTAGCTTTTACTACCATTAGCCATTGCAGAACGTGTCATCATAGAAAAAAATTGCGATATGAGCGTGATTTCATGCTTTTGCCGCACTTCAGAGTACGAATAAGATCCTCTGACCGCTGGAGACGATGATGATATCTCGTGCAGATCGCTTCATCCGTTCAGGAGGAGTATTTGAAAAACAAAAGCAGGAGTGTAGTATAAGAGACCATAGGATATATTTTACATTTTGCCGCGATTACGGAAGACAATGATGATGTTTCCATTACTCTGATAGGCGATGATTTCTACAACACCGCAGAAGATTAGATTATTGGCCATTGCTAAAAACCGAAAAACCATGTATTCGTGATTGACGGTGAAAAAATTACCACAAGTGATTTTGCTGCGATCATGGATTCTGCCTTGTTTAACAATGATAAAAAAATACAGTATACAATAAAGAACTACTGTACTCAATAGACAGAATAGAGTACAGCAATGAGGCGTTCAAATTAGTAGATGTTCGGACACGAAGGTTCAGATTAAAGAGGTTCTACTGTATGTTATAAATATGTAAAAAACTAGTAAAAATTTAGCAAATGTTGGAACTGCTAAGATTTTTACTAATGGTATGTTACAGTCCTCACTAATTTTGCATGTTCTGGACTAAGACAGTGCTAAATGAGGACTGTATAAAAAAGCTGTTGTTGCAAAGAAAGCATGTTACAGGTTGTAGAAGAGCCGTACACCATGAGAGAGGCAAGGATCCATGTGAGACATGTACGTGATCTGCTCAAGTCTCTAGACCCGGCTGATGCCTACAACGGAGTGGACTGCAGCTCTCTGTCCTTTCTCAACATCATCACTCAAGGTGACATTCTAGGTACATGTCAAATTGTACCTAGCAATCATACTACATCTATTGTACTAAGTATGTTTTTCAATTCGTTGGTTGTTGGTTATTTTTGGTTTTAATTAAATAAATAACCACCCACTTATATTTTAACAGTAGTTACAATAATGACTAATGATTCGTGATCGTGGCACCATCCTGATCCATCCTCTAAACCAAATATTATATCACAACCAAATTTTGAACATCTTTCGCAGTTGCAAGATCATCTTCGTTTTCTCCTGCATCAGAATCAAATTCACAAACACTCTGCAATGGCAAAGTCATCATCTTTGTTTTCCAAAATCTTGAACATCCCCCTCGATGGCAAATACCTCATCATCTTATCCTACAATTAATTGTGGAAAAATTGAAAGCATCTACCAGGATCGCTAAGATATCATCATTGTTCCAATGATATGTCGCGAAGATGTCATTACGCGATCCTGTACTTAAACAGCCTATACAGTATTCTTTTCTTTTTTATCTTGGGGACTTCATTATCATCTCCCGACATCATCATCTCCTAATATTGTGGAATAATTGTTCCATACCAACCAATAAACCGAAACTGACATGTTTTTAATTCTTGGTTTCAGTTTTTGCTAAAAAACGGTAAAACATACCGCCTACTTTAAAAACCGACCTATGTATATTTTTGTATGATGTTTTGTATGTCTATTAATCAGAAAATTTTGCCTTTGATCTAAATCACAATGCAATCCAGAAATTCTTTTGGGGTTATGACCACAATCAGATTTTTCTGTGCACACTATTCAGTTTCATCAAGTGTACAATTTAAAAAAATGAAATTAATTGTGCAGAAAAAAAGAAAAGCCGAGCAGAGAGTGTGGATTGTACTCCGCCAGACTACATCATGCCTGGCTGTCGTGAACGTCCCCTGCTGCCTCTCCAGCCATTCGCCAAGGAGCAGAAGGGCCCGCAATGTATAAAGGTAAAGCACATCGATGATGAAATTTATTTTCATAAAGCATAGCATGAATTAATACCTTGAGTTAGCTACTTGATTACAGACATATTTTGATTTCTTTTGATGATTTAATTTAACTATATTTTTGAAAAATACTCAAATAGGTTTGACTTTATAACAAATCTAAATAAATTTGTAGAGCTTAAAAAAAAAAAAATAATTTAGTAAATTGAAGCACTGTTGTATGCCTAACGGTCACGGAGAAAATTCAAAAATAGTGTAATTTAAAATTCCCATGTTATTCTTATGGAGAAAAAGAAAACTGTTGTAGTTTACTTGTTTATGGATATACTTAGGCGATCCAGAAAGTAAAGAACGTTTCGTTATGACGCCGCTAGGCACGCGCCGATCTCGTACATTTTGGTATGTGCGTACTCGGCAACTCAGTCGGCATCCAGCCGTGACAATTGGAGCATTCTAGCGCTGCCCGTTTTTTCACAATTTCAACTTAAGATGAGCCCTGCAATAAAAAATCCCGCCAGTTAAGGGGTGCGGTCAGTGATACGGTTTTTGTTGGAAAACACTTAAAACCGAAACTTCTCCTCAATTTTCACGGACTTTGTTGTTTAAAATTGTCACGCAACAAAGCGAAAGACCCGTAATCGGGAATCGGCGGTTTTTGCGAACCTTTTCATCAACTTTAGCGACCAGTTCCATCAGTCTTAATGCTCGGGCGTCCGCCCTTCGCTTCGTCATGACTCATGAGTGTCAGATCGGCCATTTTTAATCTGAATGCACCATTCTCTCAGAACTTTCAATCATTACGTTTGTTTCCTTAAACTTCATACCCTTGGCGATAAATGTCTATCGATTTTAAGTTTAATGCCAACAAAAAACGGTTTCACTGACCGCACCCCTTAACTGGCGGGATTTTTTATTGCAGCGCTCATCTTAAGTTGAAATTGTGAAAAAACGGGCAGCGCTAGAATGCTCCAATTGTCACGGCTGGATGCCGACTGAGTTGCCGAGTACGCACATACCAAAATGTACAAAATCGGCGCGCGCCTAGCGGCGTCATAACGAAACGTTCTTTACTTTCTGGATAACCCACGTATATTGATAAAATTTATTTATTTCATCCTATACTATTGACGTATGGTCATAAAACACTTTTTACCTTCCCTGTAGCAGCAAACCTAAGCACTCGTTAAATCTAATGCTATAAGGAATAAATATGTTTTATTTATGGAAATATTTTATTAAAAATGTAATGAGGCAAGTTGAAATTCGCTTAGTCTGCAGGTTTGCTGCGGCGGGGGTGTTATTTAATACGATTCAATGAGCCTTTTACAGAGTGCAATTTTACTAAAAGCTAGTCTTTTATCTGTTGATTTTTGAATACTGTTTCTGCTAATAAAGATGCTGTAGTTTACTCAAAGGTGACCTAGTTTGTCAGTCTGGCTCGGTAAAAAATTAATATCGCAGTACAGTAGAGTCCCGCAAACTCGGCACTCGATAACCCGGCAGTCTGGATAACTCGGCCATCACCTGGCTCAGAAAATTAGTGATTTTTTGAGTCCGAGTTAAACATGGACTCAAGCCAGCTCAAGTCATATCATTCTCAGCTCGTACAAATGATTTGTTGTACTACAACTGATGACTTAATACTAACTTGAAATGTAAATATACATAAAAGAGGTAGTTAATTTTAGCTTAAAAATTGTATTGTTTTTCTTTTAAACCCTAGTTCCCCATAACACGGCATTTCACAAACTCGGCACCCTTCCAGTCCACATTACGCCGAGTTTGCGGGACTCTACTGTATTGAAGGCTCAATTCATCTAAATTTAGGCCTTTTTAATTTTGAAGCTATCTAGAGCTCAAAAATAGTAACGGCCTCTTCTATCTATTTTCTAATATTTAATGGTTATCAACAATTCAGCTACTCCTAATGCATACAAAACTTAGGTTCTAAATTATGAAACAAGTTTTAAATCTTAACTAAATTGTGAGGTAAATTGTTCTGGAAATTGTGTCACTTATTGGTTCTTTGCTTTCAGGTGCTCACGACGTCAGGCTGGAACCCACCCCCGGGCTATCGTAAGATGCACGGTGATCTCATGTACCTCTATGTTGTAACACTAGAGGACAAACATTACCACATCACAGCTTGTACCAGGGGCTTTTTCCTCAACCAGTGAGTAGATTCCGAGAATCGTGAATAATGCAAATTAAACCTGAAATGTCCAAGAAATAACCAACATTGAATTTGTATGGTTTTGCATAGTAAAGCTCATATAAAACGTTGGTACATATATTGTAGCTACCTTTTGACTTTGCTTCACACAAAACTAAATTTTTGGAGAGCCCATGTATAGGCTTAGTAATAGCAAAAATTAAAACACCCACAAAATGTATGATGGGCTAAACATCATGGTTGCCGTTTTATAACGTATATAACTTGCATAATTAATACATTATTTATTTTTTGGTGATCATGGTTAATCGACAGTGTGTATAGTCTGGGGTTGACTGTAATATCATTTGTATGTACTTGCACACAGTTTGGCTCCTCCCACCTCTCAGACCACAAGAGTGTTCTTGGCTTCTTCTATCGGACCTGAGTAAATATTTGAAAATAGCTATGGAGTTCGTAAAAATAAAAATAAATTAAAAACTGTCGGATCTGTATGAATAATTTTATTCTTTGAACTAAAACATTATTTCAGTTTAGTTATTGGACCTATAGGAATTGAAATTCTTCAGAAGCATTAGAATTAATAAGAATCGGAGCTATAGGACCTTCCTTCAAATCTCACTAGTATATTTACTCAATAATTCTCATTCATAAATATTGGACGTTTTGTTGCAGATGTACCGAGGAAGAGTTTAATGCCAAGCCTGCAGTGCCATCACACTTGTGCCATTCTCTGATAGAACTACTCAGTCAGCTGAGTCCAGCGTTCAAACGCAACTTTGCGATCCTACAGAAGAAACGTACTCAGCGCCACCCCTTTGAGAGAGTGGCGACTCCGTACCAGGTGTACGCATGGGCCTCTCCTCTCACCGAACACACCGTAGACGCCATACGGGCTGAGGACAGTAAGTTAACTGTATACTTAACTTGCTTACAGGGTATCTACCGGTCACTGAAGTCCTGGAAGTCACTGATTTTCATATTAAGATCCCAAAAATTGCTGAAAAAAATTGGGCCCTAACTTAAATAAGATTCCCAAACCTGCCTTTTTTGTACCTTGCTGCAGGCAATGATTAAATTCATAGTGCAGAATCAGAGAGCAAACTTATTTTGGGAGCATGCAACAAGCTCAAAATCGTTTTTGTACAAAACGTTTTGTACTAAAAGGGTACAATTGTGCTAATTTAGGTACTACTTTTAATGGGAAACTGCCAAGGTTAAAATGTAAATCCTAAGGACCTTTTAAACTTATTTTAACCCTTTTAACTTGAATATTTTTTTGTAGCCTTTTCGTCCAAGCTTGGTTATGAAGAACATATCCCTGGACAGACGAGAGACTGGAACGAGGAGTTACAAACTACGAGGGAGCTGCCTCGCAAAAACCTGCCAGAGAGATTGCTTAGAGAGAGGGCGATATTCAAGGTACGGAACTGTTTGTGAACTTGTAAGATAATTTAAGTTGTGGTTTCTATTTGGTAATTTTAATATTGTTTATTCATCTACTTACTTTCTCTTAATGCTGTGGCCATTTTTACCTGAGAACGAGTTTGCCACTATCAAAAAAGTTGCCTACACTTCTTCCTATCATGCACATTTTCTTCATCGGTTCTAAAAACTCTCTCATATTGGTTTCTTCATGTTTTAACCTCGTCTTTGGGAGTCTTTATTTAATTCCTATTATCTTGCAGTTGATGGCTGGGGAGAATTTAGCTATCAACATTACTGAAAAGATTGTATTTATTGTTTATTGTGTGTGGGAAGTGTCCAACTGTCCTCACGACACTCAAGTAGGTGCCAAAGAACATTTGTCTTATTTCTGTTAATTAATGCCTTTTATTATACACTGGTATTTTGATTTTTTACTTCATGGTATTCGTAGTCATAATTATTTATAGGATGGAAATATTAAGAACAAATTAAAAAAGTCAAGGAGCGTTTTGTGTATCCTTATGTGTTTAGGATGCCATTTATAATACATGTTCTATGGAACTGGATGGCAAACTTGGATATTTGGTGTTTTCTTCCTTATTTGTTTTATCACTTCATTACCCATATTCCACACGGTCGATCTCATACATATCTCTTTTTCTGGTGTTTGAAACACACAACTTGGTTAAGAATCCATTAGTAAAGGAAGTATTGTAGATTGTGCCAATCTTCTCACATCCATCGTGTGGTTGCAGGTTCACAGTGACTTTGTGGCCGGAGCCACCAGAGGTGCGATGGCTGTCATTGACGGCAACGTGATGGCTATCAACCCTGGCGAAGAGTCCAAGATGCAGATGTTCATCTGGAACAACATCTTTTTCTCTCTGGGCTTCGACGTGAGAGATCACTACAAGGAACTTGGCGGGGACGCTGCCGCCTTTGTTGCTCCGGTGAGTAAAAAAACTATTATTATTTGTAAAAACTCTTTTATCAGTGCTTTATAAAATTTTTTTTAATCACCTGTAACAGGGTTTTTAAGATTATTGATAGTAACTGCTAAAGCGTCGTAAGACTTGTTCACAACCGTAGGTAAGGTTCATCGATTCAAGCCCAGAGGGTCTCGACCAATCACTGAAGTTTTTTTTTATTTTTTTTCTTTTAAAAAAAGAGGTTGGCGGCCTCTTTTAACCTTGCATTTGCCCGTCCACATAGACTAAGCGCCCGTGCGTGGCTCGTTTACAGCAAAGCAAGGAGTGAGCCGGTACAGTACAAAGGTGAACTGTACTGATAAATTTTAGTTGCAGTGACCAGGATCCGAACCCACGACATCGCTGCCTTGAGCCCGAAGTCCGCGACGCTACCGACTGAGCCACCGACTCACATACCGAAAAGTTACTGATAAGACTAGTTGGTTGCAAAAGTCACTGTTTGAAATTAAATCGAAGCCTTTCAAACTTGCAACATTTAAGTCCCTCCAGAGGAATTTTCTGTATTATAGCTCAACTACCAATTCCACAGTGAATGAGACCACAGATAGTCACAGATTTTTGTCTAAGGAAACTGGTGGACACCTTGTTACGGCTAATTCAATCTCAATATGGATATCTCGGGACCGAACAATTGTGGGCACTAAAAATGTCAGGGCCAACAAAAGTAAAGCTATGATTGAATAGACAAGCTTTGAAGCTTTAAAACCAGACGTTGTGTGGAAGATGGTAAACTACACAGTGTTATACAAAAAGGAAGGGAGTTCAATCATCAATAACAGCTGTTTGTCCAAACAGCAATAGACATAGGGTGACTTTGCAATCCGGTAAAGTTTATTTTGTTTACTTGGCTACAAATAAAGTGCACCACATACTTGTGAAATGCAGGTAGCCTTTCTTGCGATCATGTGCAGTTTGAACTAAGCGGGTAAGAAGAAGGTTATACTGTAGTTTAGTGTTTTGAGTTTTTACAATCACTTTGTTTTCATTTGCCCTTTTATAACTTAGAAATATCAATCAGATTAATTTTGCATTATTTACAAGTTGTTTAGTCATACAGATTCTGTTCAATGCATAAAGTAAAATGTATTAAATGGTTGATAATATTTCAGAGGAACGATCTGCAAGGTGTGAGAGTTTACAGTGCTGTAGACCTGACTGGCTTGTACACTCTGGGCACCGTGGTCATAGACTACCGGGGCTACAGAGTTACAGCTCAGAGCATCATACCTGGCATACTGGAGAGGGAGCAGGAACAGAGTGTGGTCTACGGCTCTATAGACTTTGGCAAGACTGTACTGTCACACCCCAAATATATGGAACTGGTGAGTTAGTTGGCACATTTAGCATTAGTAAAGAGCACTCTTAATAAGTTACTGAGTGAAATTCCACCTAGCATATATTAAATTCTAATAAACTATACATTTTATAACAATGATAAGCAGCCAGCTCTTTTGACTAATAACAAAGCACCATAGAGCCCAGTCTAAAGGACCAATTCATATTTTATGCAACGGTGGCTGGATTTTTCACCTTTACTGTAGCCCAGAAAAGGTGACAATTCCTAGAAAAGGCAATTCCCCCTACAAAAATATGAATCTTATCTGTATTTTTATTTTTCTTTGTAACGTAATCAGAGATAACCATTATTACTTGCATCATAACTTGATGTACCATTTTGACCTAGCTAATTTCCAGATAGTAACATAAATCTGTGACACTAACAGTGTTTACGTTTATGGTCGTCACCATCTTTGGCAGTGTTCCCACATTTGTGTTTTATTGTCACACACAGACTCGTTGATAATATTTTGTAGTCACAAACCATCTGTTTGAATCATATTGCTGTATTTATTTACAGCTAAGCAAGGCCGCCCAGCAGCTCAAGATCCTTCCACACAAGGTGGTGAATGACAAGGCGGAGGAGGTGGAGTTGTGCTCTAGTGTGGAGTGTAAGGGCATCATCGGCAACGACGGCCGACACTACATACTGGACTTGTTGCGCACCTTCCCCCCAGACGTAAGTCTTCAACATGTCAGAGATGAGTATGTTAAGAAATAGTATAGTGCATTACTTGTCCAGAAAATTGGTTTTTACTGGATGAGTATGGTTGTTCCTGTGTCAGACGAATACGAGTGTGGGATTACCATATGAGTCCGATAAACACATTTTGGACAATTCTTGCTTTGCTGAATACGTTCCTTAGCCTAAGTGAACAGGCATGCAAGGTTAAAAGAAGCCGCCAACATTTATAAAAATGTTAATGGTTGTGTCTTGTTGAAGGTGAACTTTTTGAAGCTGCCTGGTGAAGAGTTAAGCAGAGAAGTGACCGCTCTCGGCTTTCCCATCGAACACAAACACAAACTTTGCTGTCTGAGGCAGGAACTCATCGACTCTTTTGTTGAGTAAGTGAGATTTTTTCTACCCATCCATGAATCCAATAATTCAACCATCTTTAGTTTTACGTGTAGTGTGCTATTACCTCTAAATATATTTGAGGACAAAGTTGTACTAAAAATACTGAAACTCCTAAAACCAGTAGAACACTAATCTATGTACTTTGTTTTACCGATGAATCAAAAAAGTCATACTGTATGTAAATATTCAGCTGAGGTGTTTAAAGTCGCAGATTACTGTACGGTGTCTTACCATAGACTAACCAACCAAGTGGACTTCTCATACCATTGTACATTTTGAAACTCATTTTTCGTGTCTAGGATTGGGCGCTAGTGTCAATAAAATTTTGTTTCTATTATTTTAGGGTTTATTTCTTGATTTGTGCTTACTGTTTGGTTATATAATTAATTAGGGGACGGGTTATTGTTTATGATTAGATCGTATTATTTGGTTAAACAAGGTTTTAAATGTCTGAAATAACAAGAAACAAATTCTAAAATAATCCTCTACTGTGCACCGTATAGAACTAAATATGAATTGGCTTCAGCCGTTACATAAGGATGAGAACTCTACTAAGGGAGTATGTTTGATCTATGGTCTCACCTTATGACTAATCAACAGCAATGGTAGTTTTGCAAAATTTTGATTAAGAGTGTAAAGGTTGACTAATACTCAGGCGCTTATTTACCCTCCAGAGATAAAATCCATTATTTGTGCAGCAGGCATGAGTGAGTCTCTGGTGCTGGTGTGACGGCTTGGTGAATGAATCTTTTTAGAATACAATCAATCATTAATGTATAACTTGTAGGCCTACCTAGAATTATCTCTTAACTACTATTATTTTGACAGATCTAGGTACATGATGTTCATCAAGTACGCAGCGTTCCATCTTCAGCAGCTGGGAGCCAAGAAACAGAGAGAGAGAGAGGCTAGGAGTCAGGAGAAGGAACTGGAGTCAAAGGTACAAAGCAGTGTAATTCTGTCTCGTAATATTGTAGGTACTTTCTAATCCGATAAGTCAAATCTTTAGCAGTGTCGGATTAATCAAAACACTGGACTAATGAGCGTCATATGAAAAAAGCCTTTAGTGTGAATGTAGAAAGAACATTGCTACAATGGACTATTGATAGTATTCAGGAAGATTTTCTAAGTAAACATTGGAGAATTCTCTTGAAGCTTGCCAAATACATTTTTCATTGAATTGCAGGATATTTCAAATTTTTAAATATTTTTAGACTAAGTAAAGAGTTTTCTTAATCATTCTCTCATTAATTCCCAACTGAGAATATTTATTGGTTTCACAACTATAAACTGTTTTGTAGGAAAAAGATAAGAAGATTAAGGCGATTGACAACAAATTGGCAACCAGAGCAGAAGTAGAAAAAGTTGCAGAGGAAAATCCTATGGAAGCAGACGAAGCTAAGAAAATTGTTGAGAGCATAACAGACTCAATAACCAGTGGAGAAAAACAAGAATGTGAGTAAAATGTTGCAGTCAAAATTCCTCTGAAAACAGAGGATTTTTTTGTAGCCGAGTGGTTATAAGATAATGCTGTTAAAGTCTTGGTGCTCGTTTAATGGTCAGAAGGTAGTTGATTGATGTTGAGAATAGTCAGAATCGGATACTCGCCTTGATAATTAATTTTTTTTAATCAGCTGTTTTTTCCAGGACAATTGAAAAACAAAAACAGCTGATCTTAGTCCGTAACAAAGCTACACATTTCATTTATCCCCATTCTACATCATCCTTCACGTAAATTAACATTGGGCTTAATTAAACAAGATTATGTCACTATCTTCATCAAAAGTCTAATAATTTGACCTCTTTAGATTATCCTGTTTCTGAACAAATAAAATCTTTTCCTTAACAGAAAGTTCAGCTATTGTCTTGTAGGAAATATAAATAAACTGGCTAGGCTCTGTTCAGTGATTAAACTATCCATAATACTCTTGATGACATCATGTCGAATGTTATTTCCAAATTGACACAATATTAATGAAGTTATCAAAGTATTATGGCTAAATAAGTGTACTTCCAAGCACACCCAATGATAGTCATCTCAAGATGGTCGTGCTTAAAAATAATCACAATTGCCATTGAGGGTAAGCTGTGTTTATTTAGTTATATTTACCTGTAATATGTCACAACAGATAAAATAATTTTTTCAGTGGAAGAAAGCACCAAAGAAATAGTGAAGAAGGCGGCTCTAGCAGTGGGATCGCTGAAGGAGACTGAGTTTGACATCAGATTCAACCCCGACGTGTTCTCTCCCGGAGTGAAACACACCGACCCTGACGGATCATCACTCAAGAAGGAGCGGCAACTGGTCAAAGATGCTGCGGACTTCCTGGTCACTGCTCAAATACCTACCTTTGTAAGTGATGTTTAGTGTTAGTCAACTATCGACAATAGTAGTTTTCATCACTAGGAGCGAAAGTGGCTCTTTTTGATAAGCAATCGTGCGCCTCTCTTGGAAATACAATTAAGTACCGAAACGACACTTTCGCTCCGTGTGGTGAACAACTATTTTCATCATGTGGAAATAACCTTCTAATCGTTACAAAACTAGACCACATAATTTGAGGTTATAAAAAGTCGTCATCAATTTTACATTTTTATTGTTTACAAACATAACTTTAAAATATCGTGTGATTAGCAGCGTTTTCATACAATGTTGAGGTTAGCAAAAAATTTTTTTACATAGGTTTTTTCTGTTCCCTGAAATTATCCAAAACTATGAATTTGCAGATGATTTAGCGAACTAAAATGGCTGCTTTCCGGACAGTATGATGAAAAGATAATTTGATTAATAACAACTAGTCCTCATGTCCAAAGGTTTACTATTTGCTGATTAAATTTCTTGAAAAATATTTCTATAAACACTCACAGTAAAGTCGTGCAATCTGGACAGCCCTATAACTTGGGAGTTCAGGTTTCTTGGCCATTCTATAAAGAATATTTTCTCAATTTCTCGGAACCAGATGTTATTAACAACCTTGCAAGCAACCTTGGTGGCGAACTTAAGAACCCTGAAACTTCAATAATTACACTGTATAATTGCAGGCCTTCTGGACTTAACTTAGAGAGCAATACAACCGAGTTTAACCTAAATGCTAACCAGTCAGTCTGCTAATCAGAACCATAATCGTAAATCAATCAACAAATCAATTAGCGTATTTATTTTTTCAAGCTATATCAAGTCTTGGTTTACATTTGTTGATATTTTCCCAGATTACAGGCATCTCTCAAACTCTTCACCTTTCTGGTCCAGATTACAAGTTTGTGTGACCGTATAACAGATAATGTGATTTGATTTGGTTTACTAAATGTGCTTGATGTCAGATACGAGACTGCCTGGACCACTCGGGAGCGCCCATGGACGGAGTGACACTGTCCGAGGGGATGCACACTAGAGGTATCAACATCCGCTACCTGGGCAAGATAGCCAACATGCTGAGTAAGGTGAACCAGCTGGAATATCTGCACAACATAGCTGTGGCGGAGCTCATCACACGCAGTGCCAAACATGTCTTCACCACGTACATGCAGGTACTGTGGAATCTCTGTTATCTGACCTAAACTGGCTGTGGCAAGGTCAAATAATACGGAAAGTAATAAAAGAAAACTTTATGCTATAACATCGTCAAATTAATAACATTTTTTCATTGTCAAATCTATTCAAGACTTAAAAGTTTGTTTTCTTTTGAGAAAACATTACTTCAAAAATGAACAGAACCAGAACACTAGGAAATGATAAAAACATACAAAATCCACTACTCTAACTATTAAGTTTGAGATAATAAATAGCTACCTGTCTACTGGTAGCAAAAGGGGTGGCAAATGGGTTTTTTTATGCATCTGCTACGGTGTACACTGTACGGTTGTAACTCCCAGAACTAGCACAAAATTTAACTTATTTTAGTCATCGGATAAGAAAGAAGATCAGAAACCTGAAAAGCAGATAATCAAGATTTTCTTGACTTAAGCCTCTTGACTTGTGTCAAAACTTAGCTCTCAGCAATCCATTGTTTTGTATTTCCTCCATTTAAAATTCCCGTCTCTTTCAGCATTTTGAACCAGCCCATCTTAGTCTTATGTTTTTGTTTGGGAAATTATGTCAGGGTTTTATAAAAGACTCTAATGCCTCTATCAATTTGTATTCTACCTGAGATACTTCTAATATACTCTGAAAATATATACTCTTGTACATCTCAAACAAAGTAAACACGGTAAAATAAATATTGTTGCATTATGATCGGTCTGAATCGGTCATTAAAACAAAACCAGTATCAGATCAAAAGAGACAAATTTTAGATAGGAAATGTGTCTTGCGAGCATGACAATCAACTGAGAAATTTACTCTAAAGCTGTTTACCTGTGAATTTGTGATTAGCGGTTAGAGCTACTGTCAAACTTCCTTAAACTTCTAGGAGTTTAAAAATTAGTAAAATAATTTTGGGCGTGTACACCATATGAAACATCAATGTATTAAATAAGTACACAAAGCTATGTGTATATCCTACAAAAAGAAGATTCCCTAACATTTTAATACATTTTATCTAATAATACTTGTAGCTTATCTAATTGTGTATATTTTTCATACGTTGCAGAGCACAGAGTTAATGTGTCTGTCCGCTGCCATCAGCCATTTCCTCAACTGTTTCCTCTCCTCCTGTCAGATGCCACACCCTGTACAGGCTGCTGATGAAGTAAGTACTTGTATTGTTGAGATTAGTGTTTATTTAACGGAGCAGTAGCTCAAAGCGGTGTTTTGTGCAGACAAACCAGACGATGCTTGTTTGGGATCAGCCATAAAGTCAGTAAAATAAGAGAATTTTGTTTATATTTTGAGCCCATCAGAATTGCAACATTTTAAGTAGGTTAGTTCGCTGCTTCATTTTAGCTCTCAGTGTTGCTAAGTAGTCATTGGATACTAATTTGTGGAATAGCCTCTAGCTTGTTAAATTAAGCAAAATAAAGGTTTAATGGCCCAATGCTTCTGTAAAATGAAGCACACTTTGTAGTTAGTGTGAATCTGTTACATACTCAATATGAGCACTTCATCATAATTTGATGTTTTTGGACCTATTAATATACACAAATTGTGTATGAAACAGCTGTCAAACGAACTACAACGGATCATTTTACATTGTGTAAAACCTTGATTTTGTATACTACTTATCTTTAAATTTCCGAATGCGTTAGTTACAGAGTAAAACGTCAAAAAGGCGTAACAAACGCAAGGGCCGCATGAACCATCTGTTGTCGTCAGACAGCAACGAGTGGGCCAACCTGACGCCCAAGTCCCTCTTTCAACAGATCAGGGGCGAGCTGAAGGCGTACTACGACTGGGACTTGCCCACCGACACAATGGACACCACCTTGGAACACTTCTCTCTTCAGAAGATATCATTACTCAGGTACTTACATATATGTCCCTCAGTTTTGACCATGTTACATATTAAATAAAAGATGTGTAAAATAAAATAGGTGTATTCTGAAATGAATCCTAAATAACAATGATTGTAAACAAAAACAAAGTTAACTTATTAAACATAACATATGGTATTTTACTAAACATGCAGTATGTTAGAAAAGACACATCAATTTTCCCCCTTTAAAGTCTTGACCGCAGCATTTGATCTACATGTCGTCTGCATGTTACTCCGTTCTCCAGTTCAACGTTGTAATGTAGATTTCCATCTCTTGATGTAACTTTTCCGAAACTCCATTTTCTCTGACCCTTGTAGTAGTTTCTCACTTGAACACGGTCTCCCACCTTAAATATGCGTGTTATACCTTTAGGTTTGTCTTTTGAGTCCTCGATTCTAGAAGGTATCATAACACTGAGGTATGTTCTTACTCGTCTGTTGAACATGAGATAGTATGCCGAGTTTCCTGTTGAGTTTGGTACTTGACGGAGTTGAATTAACGCCTTGTGAATTTTACTGTCAAGTGTACCAGGTTCATCTAATATCGACTTCAACATCTTCTTCACTGTTTGTACAAAGCGTTCAGCTTGTCCATTAGATGATGGGTGGAACGGAGCAGTCGTTTTGTGTCGAGTTCCACATGACTTAAGAAACTCTTGAAAAGTAAGAGAAGTGAAACTTCGTCCATTGTCTGAAATTAGGAGGCTTGGAAGACCAAAAGTACTAAAAAGTTTCTTCAACTCCTTAATAGTCCAATCGGTAGTTGCTGTTTTTGTAGGTATTACCTCTACCCATTTGGAGAAGGCATCAACAACAATTAAAAATTGTTGTCCATTTGTTGGGCCCATGAAATCTATATGTATTCTCTCCCATGGCTGAGTTGCTGGTTCCCAAGGATGATTGATCTCTTTCGTTGGAGAATTTTGTTTCTCCCGACAAGGCTTGCAAACAGCAATCATGTTTTCAATGTCTTTATCCATTCCTCTCCAAAAGCAGTAACTTCTGGCCAAAGCTTTGGTTTTTACTATACCAATGTGCCCGTAGTGTAGTTCATTGAGAATTCTTTTCTTGAGGGAATTTGGGATGACTACTTTCCACCCTTTGAAGAGGCATCCTTCTGAAATCCCAATGGCTCTAGTGATTGACCCTCCTCAAGAGCCTCCACAATTTGTTTTAGATATGTGTCCTTCATAGTTTCTTCGGCCAGTTCTTTGGGATTGATGGTTATGGTGTTCAATTGGTTTGTTTGAAAATGTCCAAACTGGTCAATACTTGTAAATTTTGAATCTTCCACAGGAAATCTTGAGAGGAAATCTGCATTTCCATGATCACCAGTTCTCTTGAATTCAATTGTGTAGTTAAATCCTGATAAAAAATGGGAGTAGTTGAATAGTCGCGTAGCTGACATTGATAGTAGGCTCTTGTCGGGATTGAAGATTGACACTAATGGTTTATGGTCCGTGATGAGTGTAAAATGACGCCCGTAGCAATAAGAAAAAAATTTCTTCAACCCCCAGTATATACCTGTGGCTTCTTTATCGATTTAGCTGTAATGTTTTTCAGCATTGGTCAATGATCTTGAAGCAAAAGCTATAGGCTTTTCACTTCCATCTGGGAAACGATGTGATATCACTGCTCCAAGTCCCACAGGTGAAGCGTCAGTTGCAAGGATCAATGGCAGGTCTGGGTTAAAGTGACAAAGGACTGTGTCACTTGTTATTCTTTTCTTGATGTTTTGGAAACCTTCTTCACACTTACTGTCCCATATGAATGACTGCCCCTTTTTTAGAAGTCTATGTAAAGGATTTAAAACAGTGGACAAGTTCTTTACAAACCGGTTGTAGTAATTAACAAGCCCTAGGAAAGATCGGAGTTCTTGTATGTTTTGAGGCCTTCGTGCATTTGTAATTGCTGTGATTTTATCCTTACTTTTGTGGATTCCAGTGGCGTCAATAATATGTCCTAGGTATTCAATTTTCTTTTGAAAAAATTTGCACTTGTCACGGTTCAACTTCAAATTTTGACTCCTTAAACGCTCAAACACTTGCTTTAGTCTTTCTAGTAGTTCTTTTGATGACGTTCCTTGAATTATTATATCGTCGAAGAAGCACTGAACACCTTGAAGGTCTTGAAGGATTCCGTCCATCACCTTTTGCCAAACCCCTGGAGCAACTTTTACACCAAACATCAGTCTGTTAACTGTGTATTGTCCTTTATGAGTGCTCAAAGTTTGAATTTCTGCACTCTCAGCATCCATTTCCAAGTGGAGATAAGCGTTACTTAAATCCAAAGTATAGAACAACTGTCCTCCATTCATTTGAGCAAAAATATCTTCGATCCGAGGTATTGGATGATGTTCTTCTTTGATTTGTTTATTTACTGTATGTAACCTTGTAATCAGCGCATATTCGTATGTTACCATTAGGCTTCACTACAGGTACAATTGGAGTACCCCAATCGGACTTGTCCGTTTTGGAAATGATTCCAGCTTCTTCCAGACGATTCAACTCGAGTTCTACTTTTTCAGTTAGTGCATATGGGACTGGACGAGCTTTCACAAAAATAGGTCTTGCCCCTTCAACAAGCTGTAAGTGTGCTTTTTTGTGAGGTATGAGTCCTACTCCTGGTTCAAATAATTCTTTGAATTCATCCAAAAGATCTTCGAGTGCAGTAGATGTAGTATTGCTTCTAACTGTTTTAAGTTCTGCCCAATCCAGTTTGACCTCTCTAATCCATTCTCTTCCGAAAATTGCATCAAAATGTTGGTTCACTATGTAGAGTTTACCAACAAACACCTGATCATTGTAAGTGCATTCTACAAAGACGACACCCCGGGGTTTGATTATTTCGCCTGAGTATGTCCTTAGTTCTATGTTTGTGTGGAAAATCTTTTTATTTATGTTGAGACTTTTGAAGGTAGAGTATGGTAGAATACTTATTGCTGCTCCAGTATCTAACTCCATCCGCACAGGTTTACCTTCAATAAGTATCTCGACCATAAACTTGTCATTACCGGCATTCTGGTTGTGTATCTTAAAAACTTCTTGTTTCTCTTCCTTATAATAGTCTGTAGTATTGTCAGTTTCAGTACAATGAATTTCTGTTTGTTTTGTGCCCAAACATACGCTAGCAATATGCCCTTGTTTGTTGCATTTCTTACATATTTCTCCGATAAATTTACACTGATGTGCCCTGTGTCTAGGTGATCCACAACGATAGCATTTACCTTTGAGGCGTTCAAATGGAGACATTAACTTTTTGTTCCAAGTAGTAGAAAAATGGGGTGGTTTTGTTTCTGTAGGCCTACCTGCTATCTTGTTGATTTTCTCATTTGAATGAATGTTTTCTTCTACTATATGGCTTTCGTTCTTTGCCATTTCCATGATGGAGGCAAGTTTCACTACATCTTGAAACGATGAAGCAGATCTTTCTTGTAGTAATTTTGTTCTTATGTCTGAATTGCTAATACCTCTTATAAACTGCATGCGTAGTAATGTGTTTGCAATTGATTTCCCACAATTATTACAGTTGAAGTCGCAGTCTGAAGATAACTTTTGAAGCTCAACGGAATATATTTTTACGGTTTCTTCAGATTCTTGTGTTCTTGTCATAAATTTGTGTTGTAAGGCCCAAGTACTAGGTTTAGGGTCAACATAATCCGCCAAAAGACTTACTAATTCAGCATATGTTTTATCCAAAGGACTTTCAGGAGCGCACAAATCATACAGCTTCTGATGTAAATGTGGCGTTAAGGCATGTAGCATTGTATACACTTTATCCTTTGGTTCCAATTCTTGGCTATGTAGATATAGAAATATCTCAAATCGACGAATGAAGTTCTTGAATGATCCATTTTCCTGATATGGTGTGAAAATCATTGAGGAAGTAGTGGATCGACGTTGTGGAGAAGACAAATTTGATGTACTAGGCACAATATTTTGAATGTTCACTTGTAGTTCTGCAAGCTGTCCCATACGTTTTTGTAACTCATCCATTACCTTGTAATATTTGTCCTCCATTTCTACTCTGTAATCTATTTCTTTCTCAATTTCAACTTCTTCAGTTTTCTCTTCTATTAATTGTTGTACAGAATTAAATCTTTCCCAATAATCTTCAATTGTTGTTATCCTGGTTTTGATTACTTCTTTTGACATGTTTTGTAGGTTTGCTAGCCATCTTTCAGCCTTAGACAACTGACCCTTCACTACTACTCTAATCTTCTTTAAATCAGTCAAAATTTCAGTGTTACTTAGGTCACTCATATTAGAAAATAAATTGTAAAAAATATAATGTAAAAAAAATTAAAAACTGGTTTTCCTCGTCGCCAAACTGTTACATATTAAATAAAAGATGTGTAAAATAAAATAGGTGTATTCTGAAATGAATCCTAAATAACAATGATTGTAAACAAAAACAAAGTTAACTTATTAAACATAACATATGGTATTTTACTAAACATGCAGTATGTTAGAAAAGACACATCAGACCACAAACTGTTTTTATGTTGCTCAGATTCTCTAGCGTAATTTAATTTAAAAATCAATATCCAATCCAAACCGTTTCAGTTCACCCTCATTATACAAATTAAAAACAGAGATGCTTGATTCACTGCACATAATTATCAAAAAAGAGGACTAGACTTTGGTCAGACCTAACCATACTTGACTTTGACAAACCCCCCCTCGACCCTCAAAATGTCTTCTGTCTTTGATTACGATGGCTTTGGTTGTCGCCAAAACTATCTCATTCATAGTAAAGGATTTGGTTTAAATAATTAAGACTTACAAACAATCTTTCCCCCAACCAGTTTGTGCCCTTTTAATTTAGACTGATAACAACCACACCTACCACCTAGTCACTTGCCATATAGGCGTATCCCATAAGTATGGTAGATTCCATCCTACCTACAACATTTGTAGTAGTGTTCTCCATTTTCTTTCTTTTCATTATGTAATATTAATTGGGATGAATACGCCTATTTCACTTTATCCCCTTCCACTCCATTCATTTCCAAGTCACTCCATCTTATATTCCTAAACATTATCTTCACTCGTTATTGTGTCGTTCTATTAATGTGTCTTCTAAATCCCTCTTCGCCTCATTTTTCCATCTCCTTCCTTGGCTCTTATTCTATGTCCTGTCACTCTCTTTAAAAAGAGAGTTCTGTACCATTCAGGTTATCAGGAACTGCTACCTTTACCGACACCTGACTAAATTTGGCAAAATTATGTTTGTCAATACAGTAAAATCTTGTTACGCCATACCTTGTGGTGAGACTGCAGTTAGATCATAAAAATGGTCCAATGAGAGTTAATTATGCGCAGTATTACAAAATTTGTACAAATTATAGTTGATTAAAACAGCTGTTACAATTGGATCTGAACTATTTTCACACAATATACTTTTGTATTCATTTTAGATTGCTGTTTTACTGGCAACACATTTCTCTTTCTTCTTTACTCATTCCAGTTTTGTTTTCAGATCATTTTGCCTTAAGACTGGTATCCAGATCCTACTTAGAGAATATTCATTCGATGCCAAAAACAGACTGACCTTCTTCGAAGAAGATATCATCAACATCTTCCCTGTTGTAAAACATATCAATCCCAGAGTAAGTCTGAGTTAATGCTTTTGCTACATAATATAAAATAAAGACGTCAGCATTAAATATGTCAGTACTTCAGCAGGTTAAGTATTGTAATATTTGAATATTTTTGGTTGTTAATCAAATACTAGGTGAGTTGGTGGCTCAGTTGGTATCATGGTATACCTTAAAAACAAGCCAGAATTATCTCGGTTTGTGTGTCCCGCTACCACATAAAAATTATCATAATTCATTCTTGTACAGTACCGCCTCTCCACTTGCTTGCCAGATGGAACAGGGGTTGTAAAACTCTTAAAAATTCACTATTGAGTATAGTAGTAAGGCATGTGCAGTGAACTTTACAAATCCATATATTTTAAATAAATATACAAGTGCCTTTATTTAGCTTCTGTTCCTCTGATACATTAGGTTTTCTCAACTCTTGTCTAGCCAACTAGACTAACATTTTACTAAACAATTTCATCTTGTTATTTGAATGACAAAAAATACTTTCCTTAGCTATGCTGTAACTAAATTTAAGCTCTAGTGTAGCCCAATGTTTACTGTGGGTAAAAAATTAAAGATAATTTTTCTTCCGACTTCTGGAGTTGGGGAGTAAATCCTACTACCACAGTGTCTTGCACTAGATAATCTTATATTGGATATGTAGTCAATCGCTCAATCGCATAATGTAGTGAGGCTCACAAATAAATGGTACTCTTTGTGCCATGCAATACGTTAACGTCCCTTAATTGTACTCGGTAGAAAGCAGAACAGCTACTAAACAAAAAGGAACATTGTTTTTTTTTAATTTAAAAATTACCAGATTACTCAGTTTGGATTTTATGTATCGAACTCATGTCTTCTTAAGTGGTTCTGCTCTCAGTCTTGATAAGCAGGATGTTTGTTGCCAGGCAAGTGATGCGTTCAACTTCTACACGACAGGACAGAGCAAGATACAGCAGGGTTACCTCAAGGAGGGTTACGAACTGATCAGTGAGGCCCTCAACCTGCTCAACAATGTCTACGGAGCAATGCATCCGGAGATCGCACAGGTATCTAGTCTCAACTATGTGCTATTGAAATTTATTATTAGCTTACCAGAGAAGAAGTACAGGTAGGCCATACACCACACGGTATTTCGTTCCCTGGGAGACTTTGTTAAGTGTAGTGAAAGAGAATCCCTTCAATTCAAATCAAAGAAGTGTTCAGTTAAGTAAGTTTGAGTTGAGCATGTTATCCTGCCGTAATATCTGAAGTATAGTGTTAATATGTTTTATCTGCTTCTTAAATTATATGAAATTAAAATTTTTAGATCTAGGGGTAGTTAGTATGTACAAGCTTATCCCCATTATTTGAGGACTTTTCTTGAATATAAATCTAAAATTATATGATTCTATGAATTATATGAAGTGATATGAATTCTCTTTTGACTAGGCACAAATTAATTGTACAATAATCGCCAAATAATCTTTTGAACAACGATTCTCAAGATTCAGAATATAAACCAGGTTGAAAAATCATTGTTTAAAAACAAGTTAAAACTAAAAATTAACACTATTGCGATGGTTATTGCAGTGCCTGAGGATGTTGGCAAGACTGAACTACATCATGGGGGACCATGCGGAGGCTATGGCCTACCAGCAGAAAGCCGTCCTAATGTCAGAACGAGTCAACGGCATCGACCACCCCTACACCATCACTGAATACACCCACCTGGCTCTATACTGCTTTGCCAACAGTCAGATCAGCACTGCGCTCAAGCTGTTGTACCGAGCTCGCTACCTCGCGCTGCTGGTGTGTGGCGAGAACCACCCCGAGATAGCTCTGCTTGATGTAAGTTAACATCTGTATTGATCAGGTTGAAATCACAGAGAAGTAAGACAGCGGAAACATTCAATGGTACACTAAAGTGGTGTCTAGCGCTAGTGCTGGTATCTAGGGCAAAGACTCCTTTTGCACTCATGTACTACGCTCATGGTGAAACCCTGTACGATAGGAATTTCCGTACAGTGCTCACAGTTCGGACTCTTCCTTGCTCGTCAGAAGTATATTTTTGCCCTAACATACCATACCAGAGCTGGTGTGTGGCGAGAACCACCCCGAAATAGCTCTGCTTGATGTAAGTTACCATCTGTATTGGTTAGGTTGAAATCACAGAAGTAAGACAGAGGAAACATTCAATGGTACACTAAAGTGGTGTCTAGTGCAAGTGCTGGGTATCAAGGGCAAAGACTCCTCTCGCCCTCATATACTACAAATGGTGAAACCCTGTGCGATAGGAATTTCCGTACTGTGCTCACCGTTCAGGCTTTTCCTTGTTCGTCACAAGTATATTTTCACCCTAACATACCATACCAGAGCTGAAAGCGCACGGTCCCATAACCCATAAGCGTGTATTCTCTGTATATTTTTTCTCTGTGTTAAAACTGAGTGTTTTGAAATAGATTTTTGAGTTTAACACTTTATGGTTGCGTAAAATTAACAGTTGTTAAACTTTAAAAATGTTCCATCAAATGGAAAAAAACCGCCTTGGCTGGTGTACAGCTGTGATAAGAAGGTACTTGATTGAATGATTTCTCTGTACCAGAAGGATCTCTAGGAGCTCCTTGATTTCCCATTGATTTTAGTTTGTGGCCTTTATGACTTTTACCTTTTGGGGTTAAAGAGTAATGTTTATGTGCTACTCGTTGGAACTACCTGAATTAGAAATAGGGGATTGATCAGCAAAATTATTCTAGAGAATTTTGTTAACATTTGGGAAAATCTTGTGTTCCTGATTTGTGTTCTGTGCGGTGATTACAATACTTTTAGGCTTTTAGACAAAACTTAAATATAGTTTTTTTAATGTTTTGTAGCAATTGTTTAATGTGAACTGCATTATAAAAGCTTCAATACCCCAATACGAAACCCTTCATATATTTGAAGTCTTCGATTAATTTTTCCTCAAGTTATCTAATTATTCCAATTAGATGTATTGAAACAAGATCTATCAATTTTGTTGATTTGCAGAGCAACATCAGTTTGATCCTTCACGCCGTGGGAGAGTACGAACTCTCTCTGAGATTCCTTGAGAAGGCGTTGGCACTCAACATCAAGTTCTATGGCACCAAGTCACTCAAGGTGGCGGTGAGCTACCATCTGGTGGCTCGGACACAGAGCTGCATGGGAGACTTCCGCTCGGCGCTCAACAACGAGAAGGAGACGTACGCCATCTACAAGCAACAGGTGGGTCTTGTAGCTTGGTAGGCTCTGTTTCGAATTTTCTGCTCAATAGTCTTTTGGTGCCATGATTCTCAAACTTGGTGTCAGTATGTCAATTGGTTTCTCAGTCAGTTTTGATTATGTTGATTCATATTTGCTTGATCAAATGATTCTTGCAGCATAGCTATGTTGGTGCAACAACACCACTGACTGTATATCGCAGATAGATTAGTTAATGTACCACACATCAAGAAAGGAATGAGTGAGAAATATGGCAAAACATCAATAACATTAGAATACCATGGTTTAGCTGAAAATTGTTTCATTTATGCTGGGTTTTATCTGCCGAATGTTAGAGTCTTTGGAAGTAGTAAGTTTGAAAGTATTTTGCACAGTTAGTTTGTCTTGTTAGCTGAACGTGATGATGTTGGTATTGTTGAGAATTGATTTTACAATGATCTATGTTTAATTTATAAATAAATATATACTTTCCAACACTTCTAGACTATATCTGTTTGTTGTAAAAGTTTTGTTAGGGGGAAGAGGGATAAAGTTTAACTAGGTTGCATTAAAAACAAAATTAAGTTGAGATCCTTAGGGATACACAACATAAGGTAACACAATGTAACCATTTTATGTGTAGAAAGTTCTAGAGCTATATTTTTGTTGAGCTAGCAAAATGTTTATCTCTTCCACTTTCCCACAAAAAAAAAAAACAAACTCTTGAATTAGCATAAGGCTTTGAGTTTTCATTACATTGTTTTCTGGTTCATACTCATTTTTCTTTTCAGTATAGTATGTTAATGACAGTTATTAATTTTACTTTAACTAAACATTACAAATCCTACTTTGCACAGTAGTGGAATTAAACCTTCCTCAAAACATGTCCGTACAACAAGTTCCAACTGATGACACTAACCTTTCTGTCTGGCAGCTTGGAGAAGACCATGAAAAGACAAAAGAGTCGTCAGACTGTCTAAGACACTTGACACATCAAGCAGTCGTGCTTCAGAAGAAGATGAATGAGATCTACACAGGCAAGCCAGGAGTGGGACTGCCTCCCATACAGATACAGCCTCCTAGCATGGGCAGTGTCCTGGACATGCTCAATGTCATCAACGGAATACTCTTTGTACAGATAAGGTGAGCCAATGGAACAAAAATACTACTTCCTCTTTCTCTTATGGTGATTTTATACCTAGGAAAGTACTTGGAACCTCGATTGCATATGCTTCTTCCTAACCTGTATGTAGACAATAGATGAGACAGTATTCTTTATTTAAATATTTATCGAGAACCTCACAGCGTCATAGGACAGGTGATATGTTGATTGCAAATTTAAAGTCATGTTCGGGTGAATTCTTTTTGGCGTAGAAGGGTTTTCTGGCTGCCCTTTAAAGTGGTTGAATTATGCAGTTGTTTAGGTTTGTTCTGGAAGTTGTGTGTTATTCATCAGCTCGTATCACTCTCATGTCTTTGAATTTGTCACCTTTCCACCTCTTTAGGAGTCCTTCAACTATCCAGGTTTTCCTTTCATATTTGTTTTATTGCATCAACATATCTCCTACTTGTTACCTGTCCAGTTCATTCTCAAACCTCCGCTTTGCTTTGACAACCACGTATGCTGCTTGAAACAGATACCTTAGTTCATTGTGTGCATGTTACTCCCATTTTCCAACTTCTTTTCCTAAGATTTTTCACTGTATTATATTTTAAAATTTTATTTGCGATTAATATACATGTTAACTAGTACAACATTAAAAGAATATATTAACTTTCCATTTTGTGGAGAAAATTCAATATTAAAGAGCTGTGAATTGTTTCAGCCAACAAGACATTGAAAATTTCAAAGCAGAAATTGAAAAGCGCCAAGCCAAAGAAGAAGAAGACAAGGAGAAGGAGAATAGCCCGGTGAATGACACCTTACCCTCGATTACCGCTTCCCAAGTGTTGCCTGAGAGTTGAAGCAAAACCTCCGCCCGTAGATAATCGTAGTGACACTTGAACTATTTTTGTACAGTTTTGAACAGACTGTCTGGTCAAGGTGTTCGATACTTAGGTGTTTGGTTGAATGAAACTTTGTCATAAGCAACAGAAAAGTCTGAAAGATTCTGCCGAGCAATAATCATTGTTTGCACTAAATTGTTACTTATTTGTTTTACAATTCTACCGTTATTGTTGTTGAAATTATTTGAAGTTATTTATATTATCACGTAAATACTATTATTGTTACTAATTATTGTTGGAATCTGTTCATTATTATTTTTTATACTTTTAACAAGCATGTTGTGTGTTAAAGTCAATAATGAGTATACATCATCTTGTAAAGAATTTTGTGTGAGTTGAAGACATAAACGTTTCCAAGCACAAAAATGTAATATCTAGAAACAGCTAAAATTAAACAATATGCCTAGTAGAGTTACATGATTTTTCAAATCATATTTATTTTGTCAATTGTATTTGTGATTTACTGATTTGTTATGTTAGTTTTCTAAATACAGAATATTGTTTACCGTTACATAAAACAATGTGTTCCTCATAAACAATTCATAGTGATTAGGTTGTTCCCTCCCTATGTGGTTCTTATCTTATTATACACTCAATATCATAGAGCATAGCTTAATGAATTTAAATACAATACTCAATGCAAAGCATTATTTTGTAAACTGATTTTATGTCGTAACCATCTTCAAGTATGATTGTTTACATATTATATCTCCAGCTGTTAGTTTTACCAGCTTAGCCTATACTTTTTGTTTTACCGAGTTTTCATTGTTCTACTAGTCTATTGTAATCTGTTCACCCTTACTAGTTATAATTGTTTATTTTTGCAATCGTTTCACTAGTGACAATTTTGATTGTATCGTAAAGTGTTTGTTATACGAATGTTAAGACGATTGAAATGATTTATTTTGAATTATTGTTATTGTTTCTAGAAAATCAAAAGTGAAATCGTCGGCTCAGGTTGAAATATTCAGCCGTTATTGAATCAAAATATGGTGTGTAAGATCGAATACAGTCGTGGTTTTACGTCAACCAATTCAGTCTGTGATGTACCATATTTGTAACCTGTACAATATTTTGCCTGATAATACTGTTTAAGTCGGTGTTGAATTTTTATGCAGAGCATGCGTATTTTGTAGGTTATTTGGCTCGGTTGTTAGTTTATTGCATGTTTTTGTCATTAAAATGTTCGATTTCACCTAGCCAAGATTTGGAGGGGATGTTGCTTCACTACCTATTAGTAAGTAAGAGGCATGGTGCTTTGTCCAAAGAGTTACATTTAGTACAGTTAGATTTCTGTTTACAAACAGCTTTATATCCAAATGTCCCCTCCAGTTCTCAGGCTAAGGTTTCATCTTGAAAACATTTTTGTTAACCATATTCATTAAGGGAGGGTGAAGTTAGATTCATAATGTATTCATAAGTATCACAGTGATCAGTAGGGTTATAATATTTTCTTTATATTTTGTCCCTACCTACGTTTCAAGCAACCTCGTTGGTTAGATAAACAAAAATAATTGATCCCTATTTTACTATAGAGTGCTTGGTAAGTTATTTTTTTTAGTTATTAGGTAAATAATAAAAAAAAACATGATTAAATTATTAATTTAATAGAATAAGTCTAAAATTCTAGAGAACTGACTAATTTGCCAGTAACGAAATGTCAAAATGACAGGATTTGTGAACATTGATTCGTTTTACTGGAACATGTTAGAGTTAAGTCTGCTGATCCCCTCTAATTGGAGATTTGTGGCCAATTGACAAATTGGTAATTGTTGAACTTGGCATCACCTATTAATTTCTGTAGTTTTTTCTTTTGAATACCTATGTGAATTGGGTAAGGGCTAACAAGGAAATTACTCTGATTAATTTATTTGAAATCTTAAATACAAATCTCAACATTTATGTCTCATTTTGACTTTGATTTTTTGTCAACACATTATGATGTTGTCGTTTAAAATACCATTGTCTATTTTAAATAACTATTTTCAAAAACATTAGCTAAATTAAATTACTTTAAGTCAACCCCCCTCCTAAAACGTTTTAAAAACTGTTTAATTGTTAATTTGAATAAAATAACTATATGAGTTAATTTGAAATCAAAGTTGGATCTTCATTTTTTTTTTCATTAACCACTGAAAAATTATTTTCTTCTAATAAAAGTGATATATTTTTGGTATCAGTATTAGCAGCACCATTTTATTTTCAATTGTTATAAAATAATCTTTTTATGATACTTATTTTCCTCATTTGTATGGTTTACAATAATGTAAAACGTGACAGTTTACAAGTATTACGGTTCCATTGACATAGTAACCCTCCCTGTTAACTTTAGTTCTTAATTTTGTATTGTTTTCTATGTAGTTTAGCATAGCTTAGTGATCTCGTAGGGTATTTAGTGAAGTAGAGTCGATTTGGCATAAGTTGCATGATCGTTGCATTTGGTACGGACATCAATTTGTACTATCGTTGCTCTGGTTTTTTTACAAAATAGTACCGCTGTTTTAATGCAATAGTGAGTTTTTGGTAGTTTTCTACAGTTTCATTGTAAATTTGCTTAGGCTCATTTAAATATTGATCGAATCACTTAGTTAACCTTTATTCACAATTTGTTGAATGCTACCCAAACAATTACCATTTAATACAAATTTAACCAAAGTCATCTAGAGAACTTTGACTTCATCAAAATTATATTTTCAAGAGGAGGATTAGCGTGTTCTTTCTAAAACTTGTTGTGTATGAATAAGTCTAAATAATTTTATTTTGCTAGTCACACCCAAAATACAACATATTTTCTGCTATAAAATGTTATAGATTTAAATACTGTTAGAATGATTATTCCTATTCCTAAAATGCATTGAATTAATGTATGTTGAACTCTAGGATATTCGACAAGTGGCTTTTGATAACGTGAAACATCTAAGTGGTTATGACCTGCTTAGGATTTGCTAAGTAACTGCTCGATCTGTCCTCTATAAATAAAACTAAGTACTGTTTGTTGAATGGGTGTAAATGTTAAAATTTACGATTGATATTGTCAATAAAAACATTTTTTTAGTGATGTTAATAAAGTCACATTACTGAGATATAGCTAACTACTTGGAAAAATGTGATTTGTTTGTTTAATTGTATATGCTATAACAACGATAAGTTTTGAAAATTGTGGAGGAAAAGTTCTTTTAAGACATCAAAAGGCAAAATCATTATTTTTAATGTTGGAGTTTACCAAATCGACCTTTGTTATCCATCCAAAAATGAGTAAATCGGACAGTCAAATTGCTTGAATTAAAGGTGTAAAAAATGGGAGAAGAATAAGTTAACAGATTTACTTAACCTGTCTCATAAACATATTTCATTCCAAAAATTTGTTTAATACTCTGATTATAGAACTGTAAAATCATTTTGTAAATAAATGCTTGTTTTTCCCAGCAGGTTTATTTGTCTTGAAATTTAAAATGCCTTTATAGAACAACTGGAACACTGTTCCATAATAAGATTTCTACATTAAAAACTTCCTCCACGAGCCAGCAAAAATAGCCAGCATTTTTCCATGAATAATTCCCTTGATTAAAGCAAGAAAGCTTTCCCTAAATATAACTCATATGATAAAGCATAGCAGCCACCCATGAACAAATTGCGTTAAAGCATATGAGCCTTCCATGAACAATTTCTCCAAGAACAAGCAAAGAGCTTTCCCTATACAATTATTTCAAAAATGAGCATTACAGTTTAACATGACTGATACCTCCAAGAGCAAGCATGTAAGCTTCCATGAACGATTCATCCAATAAAATATGACAGCTCCATGAACGACTCCAAGAGACAGAAACTTCCACCTCCAAGACTGAAGGTTGATTGGTCAACAGGATCTTATCCACATTGTTAGCTACGCACTGATTGTCAAATAAATTGGTTGTGTTTTAACTGACTTATTTATATACCTTGTGTTTGTCATGTGAGTGGAAAACTAAATAAAATTATCCCCGATGCAAACCTGCAGACTGAGGTAATTTCCATTATTCTGCTTGAATTTGTAAGTAAAAGTTTCCTTAAAAACATGTCAGATTTTATACCCTGTTTAATTTATACAGAGGTTTGCTGCTAATAGGAAGAAAAAGTGAGGTTTATCAGTAAAATATTAGTGGTACAGTATGAAATAAATATTTTTTCTAAATTTGATATATATATTTAAGTAAACACATTTTAGAGGTAATGAAAATTGTTTTTTTTATGATTTAAAGGTAAAAATTGAAAATAAAATATAAAAAAAAATCACAACGTTACAATTCATTGTTGTAGCATCAAACTTAAAGTAATTATTTATATGTTATGTGTTAAATGTGTTTGTCGCGTAATGAAAACAAAGCTATTCTAGCCAAATTAATGTATATTCCTGTAATGAAGTGATTGACAATGGCAGCTCTTTAAAACGTCTAACACTTCGACGAATGTTACTATTATGACTTGTCAAAACTTCTAACACTTCGACGAATGTTACTATTTGAAACTGATTAAAGGTATTGTAAAACCAAATACCATAACGTTCCTATGCAGCTGAATAATTTAAGGCACTAAAAACAACAGGAATAGTTATAAACATAGAGTTTTATTCCTACTCTCTAAAAATAAGTATACATTGCACCACAGTAGAAAGGTTGGGCTTTTAACATTGTAGACCACTTAGTTGATATCATATATTCATGCTTGGCCAAGAAGGTTTTGACTTTATCCTGAAACTTGTATGGAACATTTACATAAGTGACCTTCCCTTGGGTGTTTTCCACCCTTATCTTTATTCCTTTAAAAAATACTCAGCTTTAAAAGTATACCCCAAGGTGCCTATATCCACAACTACAGTTAAGTTGAATATTTTATTAATGTTATAGCCTACTGTGCATATAAATTATCTTTGACAGTGATAATCATACTCACTACACTTTCAAATGACAGTTGACATTTAACAAGGACTGTAAATAATAAACAGTAAGTTAAATCTACTATTTTATATTTTACAAACATGGTTTCTAAGTATCAAATGGTGTATACTATTTGATTTGTTTTCCTGTCGATTCAGGTTTAATTTAATTTGTGTGCTTGTGTGTTTATTTTGATAACCGGTGTTTATTTTGTTGATTGTGCTGCCGATTCAGCCAACATTTGTCATTAGGTTTTCAAGTTTGACTTTATATCAAGTTTGCGTTCCTTAGACCACTGACCTAAAAATAATTTATAACAACGTTATAAGAGTTTCAACTGTATGTAAAAGTTTGGAGATAAATGTCAAATTAGAAAGACACACTTTTTAATCGTTAAAGTTCTCAGAATTCACAAGCACTGTTTTTTCAGGTGGACATAATTCAAAAGTTTGCTTAACGGAGATAAAACAATCTGACAGCAGCTCTCTGTCAGTGTTAGAGAAACGTTCTAATTGGCAAGAATTCGAGAATGATCGATTTCAACCTTTACTTTGGAAATGACTTAAAAGGATGTACTGGTACTAGTTTGTTTTAATGTTTCTTTTGTCAATGTCAATGATTAAATCTCCTAATTTGTTAAAATGGACACAAACTGTAAGTAATATTAATCACATTTTTCGTATTGATGAGTACAAAAGTCAGAAGTCTTGCCCCAGAAAGTAACAAAAAGGATGTACTGGTACTAGTTTGTTTTAATGTTTCTTTTGTCAATGATTAAATCTCCTAGTTTGTTAAAATGGACACAAACTGTAAGTAATATTGATCAAATTTTTCGTATTGATGAGTACATAAGTCAGAAGTCTTGCCCCAGAAAGTAACTTACCTATCACTTACCTCCAAAGGGCTTCCCCAAAAGAGGAGATTTTCGTTGGATACCCTGTGAAATTGAGCTACCCACCTACTTCGAAAGAGTCAGAAGATTATTTAACTTAACGCTTGGTTCACTTTTAAATTCAATTTTTTCTCCCTTCCGACTTAAAATATCAAAGTATACGCATCGACTGTCACTAAACCCCTTTTTTCAGGAGTAAAAGAACTCCACGTAGAAGAAATCTGCCACGGAAATACTTTTATGGGTGGGAAAAGTCACATGAACGTTGGGATATTGGATATTGTTCTACGCACTAGAAGGTTTCTTATGCATTTTCGTGAAATCGTTTGTGGTTTGTGTTTTTTTTTTAAGTTTACCCATGTTAAGCTTCCTAGAATTGTTGCAGTGATAAGTAGAATAAATGACCACAAAGGCACAGTGGTTGTATTGCTTACCTTGTATTCCGTAATGATTGAAAAATATTGACATTTAAATATATTGAAATAGTTACGTTACTAGCCCGGAAAAAATCATTAAACAAACATTAACTTTTGTTTCAAGAATTACAAAATCAATCAAGTATCAATTTCCCTAATCAACATTATGATTGTATTCGAACTAATCGTATGTAAATTGCAATGTGTACTATCCCCCGGACACTGGCTGTTACAGAGTTCAAATATTGGATTATGAGGATATTGTTACCAGGTTCCAATCATTACAGATTGGCTTCATTTAGTAATTGCGTATGAACTCAATACTGAAATAACATTGCAAATTTTGTGATTAAACATTTGAACTCTTTTACAAGTGAAAACATCAAATATATTACTAATTTTAATATATTACAAATTATTACTAATTTAGTAATTGCGCATTAACTCAATACTGAAACTACATAGGCCTTTCTGCAAATTTTTAAATTGAACAAACTAACTGAATTCTTTTCCAAGTGAAAAAATAAAATTTATTAATAATTTATATTTAGCTATTAACTAAAGAAATTAATATTATTGTATTTCTAGATTCTAGGGTAGATCTTAGCGGTAGTACCATTACAGACTGTACAAGAAAGGTACATATCTCATAAGAATTACGGTAAGGGAGGATGTTGTCGCCCAATTTGTCGACACAATTTACGATCCACTAAAACTGGTGTGTGTTTTGGCTCTATTCATTTTATTTACTACAGTGTCCACTGAAACATGCACTTCTATAAGTGATCCACACCATTCTTCAAACCTTAAAATATACAAATAAAGGAGTTAACACTAAACGATAGTGTTATCTCTACTATTTCACCCCTTTCACTAAAGAGGGAAGAAAACAAAAGCTATACTTTTTGTGTACATAAATTTCGCATTAGAAGTGTAGATAGTTAAGATTTATAACGGAATTAAAATCATCAATTAGGCAATGCTAAGTATTTAATGCTAAGTTTAATCTTCTCTACTCAGTCAGGTTGGGGAAAATGCAATCAGCATCAGCATTAACAGTTTCATAAGCGACGTGTGACGTCATAACCATCAGGGATCACGTGGTCTATGTGACATGATTGAACTTGTTACCGTACATTACCTTATGCACGAGTCGTGGTTGTTGAATCTGTTGAGACAGTTGAAAACATTAGCTTTAATATGACACGTAGGTTTATTTTTTATACCTGTACATTTTATGTGAACCCAATTATTGCGACGGGGCACATGCAAATTACAGTAGTTTTTTAAGCGGTGTTGAGATATGTCTGACAAAACAAAACAACTACAAGTACCATTGTTAATAATTTTCTCTTATCTCAGCTCTCGTCAGATTATCATGTAGATTTAACGTGAATTAAACTCCACGGCAATTCTTCCGTTACGAGTAAATAATTACCTTTGAGTACTCTCTCAACAAATTAACTATTTTGGCATCTGAATTTAAACTTTGGCTTTAATCTAAGCCTATAAAAAGTACTAGCACTCGCTTTGAATATTGTTATTTAACGTGTTTTAATGTTGTAATGTTAATCTTTTTCACAAAATAATTCCACAGGCAGAAACAAAAATTGTTGTAAGAGGATGGTGGTTTCTTTTAACAACTTCGCATTTGCCTGTCCGTATGGACCACAGAGCAAGGAATATTATTCTTTGCTCTGTGGTATGGACTCGGGGACATCCAGCAAAGCAAAAGGTGGCACGTTCAGTACCGCACTACCGACTGAGTACTAAATTCACCAAAATATAGACCAACAAAAAATGATATTATTTACTCAGTTTAAATTTCCCAATAGAAATATTCTTTAATAATGAACAAAGATACATATTAACTTAAAGATTATTTTATTAAACTTACCTACTTAAATAATAAAACACATTTTTTGTATTCGTTAAATTTCGATGGAGTTTGTACTATCGCAACCCTTGTGAAAAATTAAATTTAAAACACTTTACCTTTAGATTTTTACTAATTAAAAAAGGCATGAAAACTGTTATTTGACACGTAAAATGGTTTTATAATGCCTTTTTCTCTGACATCTAAAATCCGAAGTGTGGGCGGGTGTTGTCAGTTAATGGAGAAAATACACAACAATATTATGAGAAATCTAACCAACAAAGTAGACCAGAGTACATTTTCATGTCAATATATAAATCCCCTTTTGTCGCTGTCTCAAGTGTACTGTTTGTGTGTAACAAATGGAAATTGAATCGACGTCTTTTCAATCATTGCCGGTTATTGTCAATAGTCAATAGTCAATAGTCAATAGTCAATAGTCAATAGTCAATAGTCAATGGTCTATAGTCTATAATCCACAGTCAACAGTCCATAATCTATAGTCTATAGTCCACAGTCCACAGTTCACAGTCCATAGTCCACAGTCCACAGTTCACAGTCCATAGTCCACAGACCACAGTTCACAGTCCATAGTCCACAGTCCATAGTCCATAGCGAATGGATGTCTTTCCAATCAACGCGAGTTAATGTGAGTGGTTTCGAGACTTTTAATAGAAAAAGTTTAAGTTGTTGGAAATTTATTTTATAAAAAATAATTTGCTTTAACGCAATTTAAGAAATTTGAAAAATACTCAAACAACAAAAATTTAAGTTTGTATCATAATTGTAAGTCGTATACTTATGTAAACTGTATAATTGAATTT